TTTTTTTTTAACAGCAATCAGAACCTTACGTCCTATGTGCTGAAACTTCTCCTTACTTTTTTAGATGGTAACCCAATGGTTAATCCATCCATATTTCATGATTTTGTTATTATAATTAATCTAATAGGGCTGACTTTTTATTGGTGCAGCAATGCCGGGCAAGGGCTATTTTCACTTGGAAACATATTGCTATCTATATTTCCAAGTAAAAATCGTTGTCACTGCTGCCTGACAACAGGCTGCTCGAAGTGCGTATCGAACCCGGGACCTCTGATTCAGGTCCCGTCGCTCTTAACCGCTTGCCCACGGGCGGCCCACATAGTAGTTAATACAAATTTGTAGTGCAAAATACCAATCTGTCCAAAAACAATTTTCATCTGATTAGGTAAATATCCAAATTATAATTTATTTATATTTATGTATAAAGAAAAAGCCAAAGGCATTCATGCGACGTTTAACATCTTTTGAATTCTACAAACGGGATTCATAATATTAATTTCACGATTTATTTTGTTTTAACGTTTATTCAGACTGGACCTGAATCAGAGGTCCCATTTGAGCAGCCTGATGTCAAGCAGTAGTGACATCGATTTTTACTTATTTTTAGAGATAAAGATGGTTTTATATGTCTAACCACTTGCGCTGGCAAGAAATTAATCGATACCCCAGTCAAATTAAGATTTCAGTTAGGAATAATTAATTTGCATAGAGCTGGAAATTGGTACAGAAATTAAATAGGCCATTACAAATAAAATCTGAAAAGTCCTCATCGATCCGACATCTGCAATTTTTTTTATTCAAGGTAAAGGTGCAAAATTCTAGTTTTTCTCATTACCCGCCGAAACCATAAGATATTTTAAAAAAATATGTTAGATAGGTTTATTAATTATAAAATTCTCTATTAAATTGTTATTATTAATTTTTTTCGTTGAAATAACCGTTTCTGAGATACTGCCGTTTGAAAAGTTGAAAAATTCATATTCATAATTGGTGTGTCCTAGGAACAATGTTAAGCTAGATATGAAAATTCGATTTTTATTTCTTTCGAGATTTAATTGTTGTATTTGATGCTATCTAGCGGCAAGGTGTTACATTTTAAATATTTCAGTGTACTGATAAAGGTCTGTTTTTTCGTTAAGTAGACATAATTTTATGAGTTCCATTTCCACCAAAATTGAAATTATTGTTATTTCATGTAGAATTAACTTGGTTGAAGAGATTTTAAAATATCATGCAAATAGGGAAATAAGTAATAATGTTTATTGAATTAATACTGAAAACAATTAATATATAGTACTAAATTATAAAAATTATGGGCAACATTATTGAAACAATTATTTTGAGTGAAAAGATCCAAGGTGATATTATACCTTTACCGCGGATACTATATATTAATTCTGTGTGAATGCGTTATACTTTTTAAAAGACTGCAATTTCCCATACGTATATCTTATGCTATAAATCACAAAGGCAGACGATATATTTTTGTTTGTAAATTTGGTAAATCGATGTTTTCAAAAATCTGGTTATCGGTACCATGTTCTCACAAATTTCGGATACCATTTTTTAAATAAAAGTTCTCTAAAGTATTACAAATATAATAAATGTTGCATAGCTACCTCATCAATATCAATTTGCGAACACTGCATTCAGAATAAATCGGTTACAGCCGTCCATCTTCGAGCAATATAAAATGATGAATTCGATGCATAATGGCTTACCCGGTCAAAAGGAGTGCTTTCGAGTAAATATCCAGTTTCAGAATTATAATGAAATTGAGAATTGTTACTAATTTTGTATTTACTCGATATTCAGCAATGTCAATCCTTCCAATTCTTGTATCCAAAATATTTGGATTCGTCGTGTAATTAATAAATCCATCCAAGAAGAAGATACTCACCATTAACAGCCAAACCTGCAACATAAACCTGAAAAGTGAACAGGTATATTCGGTATTTAAAAAATGATAAATTTGTAGCCATTGATTGATAGACTAAAATAAAATTAGAAGATATGCACTATGATTTCGTAAAGTGCATCAGCAATTAAAACAAATGAATTTAACATTGAATAACTAACCTGTACCGCTGCGTAGAAGTGAATAGTGTAGTGGGCTATTTACCAATTCCAGTGATTTATCAACTGTGGTTCGTAGAAGAGTTTTTGTAAAAAATGCTATTGAAGACTTAAATATATTCGCCACCAAAAGTTTCAGTGTTTCTGTTCTTAATACCCCAAATATTCCAACTAGAGTTTTATACAAATTACTGCGATCTTCAAACGTTTGCGATGCCCCGACTCAAAGACCAAAACTTTGAACTAAAAAAATTTTAGTTCGAGTTTTTAGTAAAAATTCGCATTACAAAACGATGTTTATATCGAAAAAAATTTACAGGTTATGATGAAGTGGAGACTATCAGAACAAGCTTCTATACTTCTAACGAACGATTTTATCTTTGCAAGTAAATCATTACACTTTCCAACAATTAAATAAAAAGATGTTTTTTTTCGTAACTTACTCAGAACGTCTTGAGCCATATATTTTTTTTTTTACTATATAAAAATTTTATATAGTTTAGGAACAAAATATTATTTATTATTCAATAATATTAATATTATAATTTAATAATATTAATATTCAGCTCTTACGAAAAATCAAAATTCAGAATGTTTACCTTTTCAAATTTTGTCATTCATTATTGTGTCTGTATTGTAAAGGATTATTAGTATCTCCCAATAACCTTTTAAGATTTTCCAAAGTTTAAATTAACTAGTTGGTATTGGTATTTAGCTATAAGGCAAGTTACATGAACTTCCCGATATGTGTAAATAATCGACTTAATCAATAATAAACAAATTAATTTATGAGTGATTAGAATTATTCCGAGAGGATTTATTACACATAATTGAAAACGAACGAACACGTTAACTCGGAGTATTTTCTAGAAGCAAATTTTCACAAATCAATAATTTTTATAATTGAACCATTATAAAGACATTCATTAAGACCAAGTAATCTATTGTTATACCAAGTAAATCATCTAATTTTAATATTAACAAACGTCAACAAAACTACTCATTTTCTCAAACTTTGATGAATTTTTAAAATTAAACTACTTGTCGTAAGGCCGTAATATTTCAGTAAGTTCTATAAGACCATGAATTTTTTTGACCTCTTCGAGATACATCGAATGGCTTTTAAATTTTTGAAAACGGTCGAACCGTTTTTGAGAAAACGTCGATTTACGGCAAAAAAATCTGTTCACACACACACACACACACATACTTTTTCCAAACACTTCTCCTTCGGGAAGTTAAAAAGTTTATAAATTTCTGAAAAAAATCAGATCTTTTGAGAATTCATATTCAATTTCCAAAAAATTCAAAACCAAAATCTTTTTCAAAAAACAAAATAAGAATGAATGTAATAGTTCAGAAATATTATTCTCGGTATCTTTATAAGAAAAGTTTAGAATCCATTGAATAAGTCAGTGAATGTACAAAAGTAATATTATGAGTGCAGAATTAGTGACCTCAAAATCAAGTACAAATACTAATGCCGACACGAAAATCCTAGGAAAGAGCCGAATTTAAAATCCATTTTCAGTTAATTAAAGTAGATTGATGGATAATAATATAATCTTCCCGAAGGATAGTTTGTTTTCGGCAGAAAATGCAATTTGCTAATTTTATGTTTTAGCGTCGTTTCAAGTCATTCTGAATCGAATGAGACGAAATTTGGAAACAGTATGTGCGCCTGTGTGTATGTGACCCGATTTTTTATCTTCCGTCGACATTTTCCCCAAAATAGCTGAATCGATTTCAAAAATTTGAAAGCCTATTGATGTAACTTGAAAAGGACCAGCGTTCATTAGTTTTGCGCGGCCAAGCTATTTCTTTGTTACCAGAAAGGTGTAAAATTTTGCGTCCATGTTTAGCCCACAATCCTGCATGAATTCTATCCCTTTAGAACCCAAAAACATTATATAATGAAACAGGATTCATTAAATTCAAAAATAATGCAAATTTTAGAGGTCTACACCATAAAATTATACAAGGATGCAACTTTTTGCTATGACTGCGATACGCATTATATTATGTATATTATACATCATACAATATTAAAATATATGTTACAAATTTGATCTAATGAATTACTTGAAATGCAATAAATAACTGAACTAGTGGTACTGACAAATACTATAATTTATATCACTTTTGTTATTTACTCATGTATCTGAACTTCGTAATGTTTAGATCACATTATGATTCAACGCTCAATCTATAAAATTAGTTTAAAATATACTAGTACCAAACAACGAAATTCACAACTTATTACACACCAAAACAAGTTCTTTAATATATAACCATTTCGAAAGTCAGTATCAAATTTAATTCAACATTAAATCACATTGCATCAAATTTATTTAAGCATATTAGATATTTTGTCAATTTTTGTTGATTAATAAATAATAATATTTTTCATAATAAAGGTTCTGTCCAATATATACAATAGTCACTTTTACTAAAATATAAAAATTGTCATATTTGTTAAAATTTACATTGGTAATACAATATTTAGTTTGCAATGTCTATTTTATATTCTATTAAAAGAAATAGACATAGTAACAATGTTATTATTTTACTTTACTTCATATAGTCCCCTCTCATATCTGCATGAAAATTATATTGCATTTAACACCAATTATAAACAAAAATTGGAATAGCAGATAAGTATTTAATTGTTATGACTTGTTGATATAAATTTATATATGCTTAAAAATCCATTTAATAAACAAATTGTCACTATATAAACTTCAGAAATAAACTTTCATCTCCAAACTTTTCAAGTTATGTGAACATCAGTCAATTTTTAAACATTATTTCTTCTATTTATATTTTACACGAGAATGTGCTAAATCACGATAGATGCATAAACAAAAAACAAATAAGTATTATTCAAATTTTAAAATAAAATGATTTAAAATTCTGTTGTCTATTTCAACCATAAAAAATAATATCGATTCGCACCATGAGGTCACAAGAAAAAGTTGTTATATATTATTAATTTGTATCATGGAACACATTGCTATTAACTAAACACTAGTTGACTCCAAAAAATTATTAATGGCTTGCTGGATCACATCATACACTAGGTTTCAATTCTAATGTATTTTCAATATCTTCAGTCGATAGAGGTTGAGATTGTTCCTGCATGTGCTATCTCATGAAAGATCTCTGTTGTCCTATTGCTCGAGGATGAGCCCCCCTATGTTGTCTGCCAACGACCGTACCATTGCCCGTTCCATTTGGTGAACCAAAGTGATCGGCAGAATAGGCTGGGTCATGATGATAATCACTTATTGCTACAGAACCCCCATGATGTGGTGAAGGCCAGGATGTTACGCGTCCACGATTGCTATTTGAAGAAAGTTATTATATATCTTGAAAATTAAATGAACATATTTAGTTGAACATAACTTGAGTCATAAATGAACATTTTTAAAAGCTATAATTAATTTTAGTACTTATTATGGGTCCATTTGTATTACTACAAATCGAGAACCAAATAAGGTCAAGAATATGCTTCATCATTAGAAATCATCAACAAGTGAATGGTGTTATTAGCCTCTATGATAAGTGCTTACTAATGTCTTTAATAATGATATAGCATAATAAAAAGAAAGTACAAATAGTTTTTTTTTAAATCAGTAGATACGTCCTCGAAAGCATTGAAGGAAAATTGTATTGTATGAATTAATTACCTATGGCGATAAGGAGGTAAATGCTGTGCTGGACGAGTGCCCAGTAAGTCTCTAGGAATTCTATTATAGCCAGTTGGACCTGTTGGCTGAGCTCCACGCGTTTCTAATGCCTAAAACGTAATATAAATAGTTATAATCCACTCCAGAGTTTACATATTATATTACGTTTATTCAAACAAAGTATCATTTTAAAAGTGCTCGTTTTTACATTGTTTATATTTATTCAGTAAATGATACATAATAAATTCAATAAGCATGGATGGATAGAATTTAAATGTGATTGCTAAAAATCTTCATATACTGGCATAAAGAAACTATTGGCTTCTGAACATTGACAAAACAAACCAATGTTTTGAATATCTAAATTATTTGTTTTGGAGATAGTTTCAACTGGTAAAATGGTAAAATGTTAGTTTATAAAAAACAAAAGTTTGTTATTAATTTTTACAATAGTTTCAATAGCAAAAATTGTTAGTGAAAATTTAAACCCAACAAATTAAAAAAAATTCTATAAAACTTTTTACCTGAAAATCATCAACATGAAGAGAAGGAGGTCGAGAAGTGTTTGGCGGCCTAGATCTGAATGCGTCCAAAACGGTATGATGTCCAGATGCAACTCCACCAGGAGAGCCGGCATGCATGGCATGATGCCCACCACTTGCACCATGCAGACCTCTTCCCATATAACCGCCGCGGCCGCGCATTGGAGCAACTGAAATGTAACATTTATTTATATTTCACTTAAATATATATTTTCATATAATGTATTCATAAAATGCAATCATAATGTATATTGTTGGAAATAATTTAATAAAATTAATTGTATTTGCGGTTAAGTTGCACTAGTGGTTATGTCTGATGTGATTCTTGGTCAGCGCGTTTATAAGCAATATATTGCAATTTGCGATTTTTCGTACGGCGTTAGGGATGTTGAAAATTTAATTAATAAAATAGAAACCATATAGAACACAACAACAAACTTCGTAATAATAATACAAACTTGTTCGTCGGTTTAAAACAAAAGTTCGAGATAAAGTGGTTCCAGCGCCAAGGATTCGGGACACAACTCCGAAAAAAATCCTGTGAAAAGAGGTAGAGGCAGGTTTACCAAAAGGCAAACACACATCCATTTTTTCTGAGGTACGCCAAAATGTTCAAAAACCTCTGAAACGTGAAGATATGTAAAAATTTTCATTTTCGATTTTCGACCCGTTACTATAACTTACCCTACGGGGAGTTAAAAATATTCAAAATGTATAAAACTTATAAAAAAATTGATCGTTTTATGAAACAATATATCATGACTTAATCGTTTATTTTGCATCCGATAACCAAGGCCAACTCAAACCGCTACATTATATTAAAACATATTACAACTAGTTAGTATTGGTATTTTGCCTTAAGGTAAGTTACATGAACTTCCCGATATGTGTAAATAATCGACTTAATCAATAAAAAATAAATTAATTTAGGAGTGATTAAAAGTATTCCGCGTGCATTTATTACACATATTTGAAAACGGACAAACACGTTAACTCGGAGTATTTTCTAACAGCAAATTTTCACAAATCAATAATTTTTATAATTGAACCAGTTTCCGTAGGTTTTTAATGGTTTAGTTTTAGTATGTTCATTAAGACCTATCGTTATGCAAGTAAATTGTCTAATTTTAATTTTAACAAACGTCAAAAAACTACTCATTTTCTCAAACATTGATAAATTTTTAAAATTAACTACTTGTAAAGCCGTAATATTTAAGTAAGATCTATAAGACCATGATATATGTCGCCAAAACCAAGTTCCATCAAAATCGGCTTAAATTTTTTTTTCAACAGTTAATTACAAGAAAACGGCTCGATAAATTTTCACCTAAAACTAATCAGTATCTTTCCCAATTAATATCTTTCGAACAAGTATGATTTTTTAAAATCGATTCGGTAGTATGAGCTTAAATGTGGACGAAAAGTTTAACACTTTTTTCCAAATTACGAAGAAACGGCTTGGCAGATCGTCGCACAGAACTGACAAACGATAGTCCTCATCGAGATACATCAAATGGCTTTTAAATTTTCTGAAATCGTTTCAGGCGTTTTTGAGAAAACGTCGATGAAAGATGTAACTTTGACAAATGCCAAAAAAACAATACCAATTTTTGCAAACTTTGACGAATTTTTAAAGTTAAGCCAATTGTCGTAAGGCCGTAATATATATATATATATATATATATATATATATATATATATATAGAAGACTATGGTATCTACCGTCAAAAAAATAATAATAAAGATCATCGAAAAAAAATTTTTTAAAACTTTATTACAAGAAAACGGCCCGGCCGATCTTTACCAAAAACTAATCAGCACGATTCCCAACCAATATCTTTCGAACGGTTTTTGAATTTTCATAATCTATTCAGAATTTCGGGCTAAAACGTGGACGAAAAATTTTTCACTTTTCTGCTATTTATAAAGAAACATCTCGTCCGATCGTCGCACAAAACTGACAAACGATAGTCCTCATCAAGATACATCAAATGGCTTTTAAATTTTTGAAATCGATCCAGCCGTTTTTGAGAAAACGGCGATTTACGACAAAAAATCTGTTGATGCACACGCACACACACACATACTTTTTCCAAATTTAGTCTCATTCGATTCAAAATGGCTTGAAACGTCGAGGAAATATAAAATTAGCGAATCGGATTTTTTGATGAAAACATAAACTTCTCCTTCAGGAAGTTAACAAATCATGTGATTGGATTTATATTATTAGTTTGCATTACATTTGTCTGAATTATAGATAGGTATTATATTTTTTATTCTTAATCATTTTATATGTGTCAAAATTTAGCTGTTTAATGTTTAATATTGTCTACAAAATATTGGATTTTATAGTATTACTTAAACATATTTCACTCAAGTTCAGACAAAATTTCTTGTTATCAAAATTTACCATAATGAAAAAGTTACAAGTATTCAATATATTTCAAAAATTTTCTTATAACCAAAAATTTATGAACACAACACAGAAATCATTTCTGTTAATTTAGTGGTTTTAATTTAAATAACAAACAAATAATAACGTAGTTGTTCGATTCCATTTAAAACTAAACAAATACAAAAACATAGCAAAATGATTATAGCGTTTCAATAATATTAATTTGTATTTGATTTGTATATGAATAGTACATGTAACTCAAAATAAAAATATTTTTTTAAGCATTTAATAATTATTTCTATCTCTTCATCATAAGTTTGAAAACTTCCATATATTTGTATCAAATAGGTATGTATCCTAGTTCTATAGAAGCTAATCCATCAAAAAAAATGGTTGTGATTTCGTTTTGAACATACAATGAATATTGAAAATGTTGTATTCACATGTGATTCATAAAATATAAGAATATATTTTAAATTTTTGAACTAAAAATATCGAAGGATTGAAAGCAATAAAGTTCTTACCAAATGGCATTCGATTATTCTCCTTATTTACATCCATCTTCATTGTGCGGAACATTGGTCTGGCACTAGAATTACTGTTATTAATAATACTATCTGTACCATCATCATCCCTTTCATTCCCATCGCTGGACAACCGAAGTAGTTTTTTAACATCAGATATAATATTGGTTTCAGAAGGAAGCAAAGTTCGAACAATCTCAGAAAGATCACATGTTGTCTAAGATTAAACAATTAAAATTAGCTTGAATAATTAGTGTTTAAAATAAAAACTATATTGCCAGTAATCTATATTATTATTACCATTCATACTCATGCATAAATAAAAACTAGTGGTGTATGACATCGTGCCTTAAGGCAAATTGCTGTATTTCCCGTACCAAAAGTTTTTTTTTCTAAAAAAGATTGTTTTTTTTTTTAATTTTTGAAAGAAAAAGATTTTTGAGAAATATAAAATTTTTGAAAATTTTTTTTATTTTGAAATATTTTGGAAATTTTGAACTTTTTTCTAAAGCAATCGCACTGCTTTAGCTGCAAAGAGACAAACGATGTTACGGAACCCACAGAATTGTAAACAAAATTGATGCACATTATTAAAATATCTGATAATTTGATGTGCATATGTCTAATTGGCTGATCTCCAAAACCGCTAGACCTGCCTTCGCAAAAATTTAATCAGTTCTTCATCTTGTCCATACAAGTAAAATCTTTTTTGAATTATTAAAATCGGACGCTCCGTTCTCTTAAAAACTGAGGTACCCTTTTTGGCACTTTTAGTCCCGTATCTACGGAACGGCTAGACCTGCCTTTGCCAAAAATTAATCAACAAGCCTCCTTATAAATACAAATCGAATGTTTTTTAAATTATTAAATATCAAATAATGAATGTAAAGGATCTTTTGTTAATTAATAGTAGGCAATTTAAATGTCTATCAATAAAAAGTTTGTTGAAAGATGGAAAATCAAATAAAAAACGACAATGTTGTTGAAAAAAGTCTTGTCATATTTTGCTTTTTTATTTCTGCAAAGGTCAAAATGACATCTTAAGCTCACATAACTCATGCGCTGTTTATGGCAACAATGCCTTAAAAAAAAACATGTCAAAATTGTCTTATTATATTTGTTTCAGTGATTTTTCATTCAAAGAAGGTAAATGCTCTGGTCCACCAAATGAATTTGATTACAAATGAATGAGTTTACTTTTACTCTTACAACACAACTGTCTCCATATCTTTAACATTGAGACAAACTAACATAATAATATTATTAAAGTTAACAAATACTGTATTACTTCTGCTCTGTAAAAATATTAATTACAATTAAGTATAAGTACATATATATGTATGCAAGCGTTCTGTGTATATGTGTGTATAATAGTAACAAAAAAATATATAGATTTCTTAATAAATAATAAATAAGTTAATCTAAAGTTATAACAAACCTGATCCATTTCTTGTTCTTCATCACAATTAGACATATTAAACCAATATGATGAAGTCAACTTATCTTCATTTACTTCACCAACATGTACAATTCTTTTATTAAATTGTGTTATAAGATTCAAAGGCTCTGGCAATGAAGGTTCTATTAGTAACTCTGCATTGTTATCTGAATTCTCACTTGATTTTTCTAAGATACTCAGAAATTTTTTCAAATTCTCCTTAACTCTGCTATAAATTTCTTCATTGCCCTCTTGCAATGATTCATGAAGCATTTTGTCCAAAAGTTGGATTGGATGTTCTTTGTTATCTTCCCAAGCTACCGCTGTAATTAGATCCTGGTGGGATAAAATAGAAGTCCGTCTTGGTAAAATGCTATCTATTTCTTCAGACACTGATATATACTGTAAAAATTCTAGTAAAGTACTTAACAACGTTAAACAGTCTGAATTAGTTTTAAAAAGATCTAAAATCCTTTGGAATATTGTTAGCACAACTAACGGTTTCTTCAGTAAAAATTGTTTCATATAATAAAATCCATAATTATGTTCAGCTATAAGACTCAATATCCGTATTACAGCTGGCAAACATGATAAAGAATTCACTTGGATAACATTTTCTAACACTCCTGTTATCAAAGCAATAAAAATGTCTTTACTAGGAATGACATTTGCCAAAAACTGATCTAAATCACCATCAAAACTCACAAGTTTAATTTCTGTATCAAAAATACTTTGGATAATATTGAGCACATAATCTTGTCCTTGCAAATGTGTAGCTGAGTCATTCGCTGTCCTAAGCACTGTACACAAAAATGTAACAAAACTACTTGTGATGGAAGAAACCACTGATATTTTAATACTTCCATGTGACAAAAGGCATGCAAAGAAATAAAGTAACCTTGATGCATTTTGATTCAATGGAATTGTTATTGACTCTTCTAGTAACAGATCAATTAAAGCTTTGGAAACTAATACTGCCATATTAGGCGCAAGATCAGCAATCTGTAAACAAACTTTACGCAAAATGTAATTGAGAGGTTGGAAGCTAGATTGGCATAAGGTTTGTATCATTTCCATTAGAGCAGTTTGCTGACAATGTAAATGTGCTGACCACAGTTTTCTATATGTCAATATTGTATTAATTTCATCATCATTTATATATTGTTTAGTCATTAAAGGTAGTGGTAGAGGTAGCATTTCTGATAATACCATTAAACCTGGTATGAAACAACTAGGGCCGTCCATTGTGAATTTTAAAATTTCCCCAATTAATAAGCTCCATAAGCTTTTCTGTAAAGATTCTGTATCATTCATTTCTAAAGATATGGGTTGTGTATATGCCAATAAGGTGTTAACAACTTCTTCTAAAATTTTTCTGGACATTGACCAAGCTGGACAATTCATTGGGTAATTATACATAAGATTATATACTTTAAGCAAAGTACTAATTGCGGTCAAATCTTTGAACATGTTATCCCGACAAGCTATTACATAACTAAGCATTTTTCTTAAAAGTTGACATGATGGATATATAATTTGAGCCGCTAATAAGCCTTGGTTTGACACCAAGTTGGAAGTGTGTAGTCCGGGTTGTGCAAAATGCGAACAAATTTTTTCTAGAATTTGAACTAAGCTGCTAACTCCATCACCAGAATATAACTGCAAGGTCACATGTTTATATTTAAGTTCAATGTGGTCTGGTTTGCTTTGAAATCCATCTTTTTCTGAGATTGCTAGGAATTTTAGAACACGAACACATGTGATTAAATCACCAGGGAAAGCAGTTGCTGTGTCAACACATTTCTTCAAAAACTCACATAACCCCGATATATCATCACAATTAAAAATATTGCCTCTATCAATAGGTGATACATATACTAAAATTTCTTGTAATTTAGATGCCACACTTGTTTCATAGTATTCATGTTGTCTAGTCAATTCCAAAATTTTTTTGCCATATTTTTTCAGATAAGAAACATCAGAAACATTTTTTACCACAATATCAATTAGGTCTACTGCATAACCTAGTGCAGTTGATTTTAATTTAATCCCGGTCTCATCTCTATACTTTGATTCAGGCTTTTCCGTCATAAATATGCTAAGGAGTACTTTAATGTGATTACTCATTGCCAAAACATCAGAAACATGTACTCTTCCTGTAGAATTTAGACACAAACAGAAAAGATAATGGAGCTGATCTACAAATTCATTATTTTGCTTATAAATATCAGACAAGTACTCCATGTGATACAAAGTCTGTAGTTTATATGATATTTCTAGTCCTAAATTCTGAGACCTAACATCTACTAATTCCTCTTCGCAATGCGTCTGTAATAAACTTCGTACTAACACATTAACAATGGCCAAATTTTCACTTAAAAATACTAAACCATCATAGTTCTTGCATATAACTGTTAATAGTTCAATAATTGGAGAAATTAAAATTGATATATTTGCTGCTGCTGGATGGTTAAAAATCAACGAAATGCATTCTAATGTTTTATGTGCACCAAAAAAGTCAAACAAGGCAGTGCGATCATATGCTTCGTATGATGTATCAAACTGCGAATTAACAGGTAAAAATCTTCTAGGTTGTGCCAAAGAGAGATTTTTGACATAAACATCTTTAATATCATTCAGACATTGTGCCACTAATTCTATCTCGCTTTCTAAAATTTCTTCGTGTTTTGTATTAAAGTCTATTCCTCTTTACACCATAAAAGAACAGTTCGTTTCAGCTTTTTCAATACTTCAAATATATGCAATTTTCTTAATAAAGATTTTATTGCAAATTTAATTCGAGACAATGGATTTTTCTGCAACATGGACAACAATATTTTATAACCGTTGCCTGTGAGTATATTCTTAGACTCATCTACAATCTGAAGATCTTCATTTTCGAGAAAATATTCTACAGTTTTTGCATTGCTTAGCAGCATGTCCAAAGCTTTGATAATCATTAATTTAATTGACAATGACATGTAATCTTTGAAATAAAGATCCAACAAAGATTTTATTACATTATGTTTTCTGGATAAAACTGTTTTGAATACATCATGATGCATACAGAAACTTTCACATACTCTTATTCCGCATTTAATGTGTCGGATTTTAAAACCAGGCTGCTGATTGGATAAGGCCAAATCAAATTGCAAACTGATATCTAACCAACAGATCAAAAGATCAAGAATATCTTTATCAATTGATAATATTTCCTTTGAGGAAATGGTATTAAGCAAACTAGGTAATTGTTCTAAAACTTCAATCCAGGCTTCTTTCAAATCTGTTGTTAATAGTTTAAAAGATTCTACTGAACAAATGTTCATATTTTCTTTTAAAATATGACACAAGGTCAATAAATTTTCTGATACTTCATTATCTGCTTCCTTCTTATATTTAATTAGTTCCATATTAAACGGATCAAATAATTTAACAATATCATCATTATTTAAGTATTCCATGTAGTCGTAATCGTCAGCAAATTGGCTATCATTTTCATCAGCAATATCTTCATCACTTAGAATTGGTTCAAACTGTTCTTCGTCTACAGACAAACCCTCATCGGCTGGAGATTCCAATGGTGTACCGGGTGTATTATTCATTGATCGCGGACTTATAACTTTTATTCTCTCTATCTTTTTATCATCAAGTTCATTATATAAATTTTTGTCAATTTGTCTCTATTGGATGGTTTTTGCCTTTACTTAAATTATATTTGGAATCATACTCTGGCAATTTTTCATCTTCAGATTGTAAGGAGTCGACAGGTGATAACTTGATATCCAATTCTTCTGGTGTTCTTGGTCTTTCCATTGGAGGTGTTCTGGGACGTTTAGCTTTAACTTCATCTCGGTCGTAACTCGTATCTCGGCAACGATTATAACTTCGATCATTATCATAAGATGAATCTCGAGATCTATGATCTCTTTTATGGCTATAGTTAGACCTATATTCCGTACTTGGTGATCTAGATCTATAATCAAGCTTTTTATAGTCTCGGTCGCGACTTGGTGATCGTGAATAACCAGCACTTTGTTTCCTATCACAATTTCCATCACTTGAGGTCGATCTTCGATGAGTTCTTGATATCTCAATCTCATGTTGTTCTGATAATGGTGTAACATTAGTTGTAGTTTTATCTCTTGTATTTTGCCAATCTTCATTTTCATCATGCTGAAATGTTCTAGGATCTTTAGGAACATTCGGATCATAATAATTATTAGTGTAGGCTTGACTCTCATAACTTTCATTATATCCTGGTGTATTATAAACATCAGTAGAGGCTTGACCATCAATATAATTATCTATTTGCATCATTGAAGGCATTTCCTGTTGCTGCCACTCAGTATTTTGAATGGGAGTAATTGCCTGTTGCTGTTGATGTTCTGTTTCAGGATGTATCTGCATGACTGGGTTAACAGAGCTCTGAGCACCAGAAACTGGTGTCGGTGGAATAGTTTCTGCAATATTTTTGGTGACACACCCATATACAGCCAGTGTTATTGTTGTATACCACCCACGCAATACTAGCCCATCTGTTGGAATTTTTACGAACATCTTCAGTTGCTTCACATTCTAAATGTATTCTACCATTTTGGCTGTACTCGAACCCTCCAAGACTTTCAAATGTCGAGGCTCCAGGTTTGCTTAAATCATTGACAAAAAATTCGATTATTTAATAGTAATAATATGAATGTTCGATAATTTTATCATAGATTTTAAGAAATTTTCTACTTTGTGTATTAAGGTTATGTGTCATATACATATAATTAAATATTGCGTTATTATTATTATCAGAAATGTTGCCTTAAATATATAATATATTTTAAAAATTAATAATTTCCATACCTCACTACTTTCGTGTGAAAAAGTATCAAAAAATAATAATTCTGGAACGTCTATCATTTTATAATTCCTATTGATTGATATATTTTATGACATTCGAAAGAAAAACATTGTACACTTATATTATATTAATAATTTCATCACAAATTCGTCTTGAAAATCACATATTTATAAAATAATATCATTCGTAAATAAATAAAAATTAACCGCAAACTTATTCGGTCGCGTCCATCTTGTCGGTTTTTGGTTTAAGACTTGTCTTGTCTTTCAATGTTGAAATAGATATCTAGTGGTGCCAAATTGAAGTTTCAAGTGGAACACTACTGAAATTAAAAAGAATGTTATTTTAATCTTAATGAGTTAAGTTAAGAATGTTTCACTGCAGTTATATTATTTAATTTGTAGTTGAATAATGTTTATAATGTTTTGTTATAAACCAATCAAAATTTCGATTAATCGATTATGATCCCACTATCTTTATTCGTTCTAAAAATGAGTGAGTTATCCATCCGACCAGAACAGTTTCGTGGAATAGTTGTGTTATAATTAGAATTAGAAAACCTTCATTAAAACTCCTTTTACATTAATACTAAAGATGCAGGTTAGATTTATAAAATCATTATTATGTATTTATTACCACTGTTTTATTTATATAATGTAAAATTATTTTTCTACCCAGAATCCAAATGAAGATACTGAGTGGAATGATGTCCTTAGGGCTAAGGGAATTATTCCTCCAAAGGAGAAAGAAATTACAGAAGAAACAATTGTTGAAATGTTAGAAAATACTATTGATAAGAAAGTTAACCAAAATGGCAAACAATTATCAGAATTAAACTTGGATGAATTAGATGAATTAGAAGACTCAGAAGATGAAGCTGTATTATTAGAGTATCGAAACAAAAGAATAGCTGAATTGAAACAATTAGCTAGTAAAACTATATTTGGTTCAGTTGGTGAAATTTCTGGGCAGGACTATGTACAAGAGGTGAACAAAGCTGGTAACGGAATTTGGGTCGTTTTACATTTATACAAGCAAGGCATTCCTTTATGTGCTCTTCTGAATCAACACATGGCAGTGCTTTCCCAGAAGTTTAAAACAACAAAATTTTTAAAGGCAATAGCTACAACTTGTATACCAAACTACCCTGAAAAAAATTTACCCAGTATATTTATCTACTTTGAGGGTGAAATGAAAAAACAGTTTATTGGACCCATAGAGCTACGCGGTCCAAATATTTCTTATGATGAATTTGAGTATTTAATTGGAAAAGTTGGTGCAGTCAATACTGATATCACTGATGATCCCAGGCCAGTTGTTAAAGATAAATTATTCAGTGATTTGGCCGATTCCAATGACTGGTAATCTTCTATTAATCATTAATCTGGTACATATGCAAACAATTTTTTTTACAACATGTTGGACTATGAAGAATACAATTCTGATTAAGAAAAATCCTCAATAAAAAATATCATTAAATATATTTAAGAAAATGTAGATACAAGAATTGAAAATGCATTTACTGCTTTTGTTTTTATCTGCATTATCTGTAGTTAATATATACTCTATATATTTATTTAACAAAGTGTGAGAATTAAGTGACAAAAATTAAAACAAAAAATTTGAAAAAACATTTGATGGAATCCTAATTTTTATATAATGTGCAATTATCTAACATTTTTTATATTTAATATTATATTGTTATTTTTATAAAATCAGTAATTTTGACATGAATTAAAATAAAACAATACATAATAGTTAAATAGGTTTTCTTTTATTTCTATTCCTATTCTTAACATTCGTTTCTTTATAAAAAGTACTACCAGTTTTTCTCCGCATCTGTGCTCTTTCCAATGCTCTTCTTTGCCTGCTAGTTAATTTTTTAACCGGTGGTTCAGCTTGATTTGTTTTCTTTGTGGGATTACTAACAACTTCTACTTCAAAAACACCACTGCCACTTTGAATCTTAGATTTCTTTGCTTTAGATGGTGATTCAAATATTGCTTCATCATATTCTCCCTCAGAATGTGAGTAGAAATCGCTAAAATCAGATGAATCTTCTTCTTCCTGAATTTTTTTAACTTTTTGCTTATTTTTCTTCTTTGAATCATCCAATCCATGTATTGGTTCTAGTTCCTTAATATCATCTTCTTCCCCAAATTCTAACCCTACACGAATTTTACGAAAATCTTGAACAACTGTTAGTTTATTTTCAGATTTATCATCTTCTTTACTTTCAACTTCACATGCCTTTTCTGGAGTATCAGTTTCTTTTACAGATATTTCTGTTTTGTCCTCTTTTATCTCATTGCCATTTTCACTGAGATTTTTACTTTCATATCCAGGTGGAACTACATAAAATGGAAGTTTTCCTCTTTGCCAATCATTCAACACCATTCTTGCAGTAATAACAGTATCTGGTTCACCACCTTTTAATAATTTTCCAGTACGTGCAGCTAACTTTTCCAAAAAATCTATTGTAGAATCCCAATGATCCACCTTGTAAGTTTTTTGCATGTATTCAGGTCTAACCCTTTCTAAAACAAAGCTCACATAATCTTCAGGATTTTGGACTAGTTCTACTCTAACAACTCCTTTCAAAACCTTTTCAGCATCAGTTTCAGCTGAAGGATATACAACTCCAGGGCAATCAATTAAATAGATACGTCTCATTAATGTAATATATTGCCAAACTTTTGTCTCTCCAGCTATTGGAGCCACTTTGCATACTTTTTTTGAGCGCAAAGTATTAATAACTGATGATTTGCCTACATTTGGATAGCCAATAAAGCCAACACTGATTTGTTTTTTGTCTATGTGAAGTTTTCCAAATTGCCTAAGCAGATTTATGAGTGATCCTTTACCTATTTGAGAAAATAAAGTAACAATTAAGTTAAAATTGATAAGAAAAACACTAAGAATTATTTTAGAATATTACTTGAAAATTTGATGAATCAACTGAGCTTTATTTTTCAACAAAAAGAAACAAAAATCATAAGTATACATTTTCATTTGTATGTACAAATATATAATTTTACAAATATCTGCTTTCAATCATATAAGTTATAAAATATAAAACTACTTACCAAATGGATGAGTGAGTGAAGCATGAAAAGCAACCGTTGGATATTCTGCACTTAAAATTGCCACCCATCTTTGCGTAACCCAAGTTGGTACTAAATCCACTTTGTTCAATATAAATATCAAATGTTTGTGTGCTTTATCAGTTTTCAAAAACTTTTCAATATGTGGAGATCTGGTACCCATTGGGTCACGTGCATCTAACACTTGAAGCAAAACATCAGAGGAATCAATAACTTTATAAAGTTCATTCCAAATTCGTTTACTCTGGCCGGCACCAAAAACCCAATCACGCACAGTATCTTTAACACCATCATCTTCTTTAACTCTATCATGATCTTTCTGATCGTCATATTTCTCAGTAGAATCTTGCACGGTTTGGCTTAATGATACAACATCAGAAACTTTTAAATTTGGCCTCTTTCGTTTTTTCTTTTTGCCAAATACACTCTCAAAACTTTCAGTATTTAATAAATGAACTCTTGAATATTTTGCAGCTTCATTTAGCAATGTTACTGGTAATGTTGTAGGCTTCATAACAACATCATAGGGATTTTTCATAGCAGCACCAAGTTCTTCCTGGAACTTTTGCAGAGCATTTTGTGATATTACTCGAGAATTACCAAACCATTTTTGGCTAGGCTCTACACGAGAAACTGTTCCAGATGACAAACGACCCTAAAAGCAAGAAAATTAGTTACTGATAGAGAAAAATTAACGGATTAAGAAAAATAAACTTAAATGCTAACAACCAGAATAAATATAATTTAGAATAGAATATAATTTTGTTTATGTATAGTAAAATATTAAAACATTACTTGAAACGGTGCAGGGGTAAGAATTTTGCCAGTCTTGTCTCGCTTAGCTTTAAAATTTCTATACATTTGCAATCTATTTATGGTGGCTCTAGTTCTCGGTTTTGCTACACCTTTTAAGCCTTCAGTACTTCTTTCAGGGTTCATAGAATGTCCAGACCTATTGAACCCTTGCTTCCTGGGCGCTCCAGGTGTAGATTTCGTTTTAGCCATTTTCTAAAAATATATTAATATAAAATAAAAATTAACTAATATTAGCTTAATGTCAGTAGCTTCTTACATTGGTTTTTCCTAGCAACTTATAATTAATTCACAATTTCAAATATCACGTGTATATGAGCCACGGTTATTGACTTCAAAGAAACATAACCTCAATTGTCAAATGATCATAAAGCTAAATCTGCATGTCCGGAATGCCACCAACATACCGGCTGTGAATCGTGTTGAACTTCATCTGTATTTGGATTGACACTTCTGTGACACCTCACACCCTCACACGATAAGTCAATGTCAACTGTCATCTTGGTGTGACATCTTTTGATGCCCGTTTTTTGTTTAAAACAAAAGGATAAACAGAAAAACGATTTACTATCGTGTACTTTATTAATAATTAATTATAGAAAGTAATTACTTTTTTATTATTGAAATATTACCAAAATAAAAAAATAGTTATATATAAATTACAAATGAACAAGGTTTATTATCATATACTTTGTAACATGTTAATGTAATTACAAAATCAAAAACTCTATTTTTATAATTATTTCAAGTCTAATCTATTTCTATTTATCATAGAAAATTATGTATGAATGAATATGAATATATCATGCTCATAAAAATAAAGATTAATAACAGAATTTTAATAAAAAAATTTAAAAAAGTTGTATAATGCCAAAATGGGCTTATATATTAACTAATTTGATTTTTGTTACTTGAGTTTTGAATTATACTTGTTTTTGAACAATTTTTCTTATGCTCATTCATTTGTGACATATACAATTTCTGATTACAAAGCCTACATAATAGTAAACAATCTATTGATTTCGTGACTTTTCCATTATTTACTGTAGCACTAGGTTTTTCGCTGTTTAAAGATGGATTTTTAACTGTGTTAGTTTGAACAGTATTTCTTTGCCTGAAATAGTTGATTTAGTTAATATTATGCAAATAAATTGATTCTTATGCAGTAAATACTTACACATCTTTGTTATCACTCCTTGCATTTTGACTACCAATTTTTACTGAACTTTTAGCTGAATCATTCAAAACAATTTTCAAATCATCAGGCTTAGTACCTGAAATAATAAAATACTGAAATATACAAGGATAAAAACATGAACAACTATTAACTGTATAGTAACTAACATATTTTAGCATGTGCAGCTATTTGATGCCCATATAAAATCTTTTTACAAAATCGACATCGAACAAGTGTTTTGCTATGATCATCATTGATTGCAGTTTTTAATTTTGGAGATTTTGGTTTTGTATGTACTACATTTTTAGTTGGATTATTATTTGATTTCAATTCTGGTGTACTCTTATTACAATTCTTGTCTTTGTTTACACTTGTGCTGCCATAGTTCGTAGTAGATGTAAAATCTTCATTAATACTTGAAACCTCTGCATTCTTCTGACTTTGACTTTTTAATTTATTAATAGTGATGTAAGCTCTTATAATACTTTGAGAACATACCAAACACACTTCATTTAGTGTGCTTGATTTTTCACATACCTAAAAATGAAATAAAGAAATCAATATGTTTTACATACTTAATTATTCATTAAATTGAATCATGCCTTTTTTTGTGTCACGGTTTCATATATATTTGCAAAGCTTTTATCTTCTTGGTCGAAGTTTAATATCGTCGTAAATGGAAATAATGGTAGTACGTAATTGTTGCATACACGACAAGAAGGTTCCATTTTATTAGCAGTTTTTAATTACTCATTTAATAAAATAAATGTATTTTATATACAAACTAAATAGGCACTGCAAAACACGAATATTATTACAATTGCTAACACATTCGGAAATTAATCCACGTAAAGAATAAATCAATACATAGAACTTCTGAAATAAACAAGCCGGAATATAAAAAATATTTTTCTGTTATATACGTTCTTTGTCTGTTTAAATAATTATTAACCTAGAATTAGATTTTGACATTCAGCTTTAGACGGCTTTAGACCAAGGGGTACCAACAAAATGGCAACTCTGTGTAATGGCTCGTCTACATTGCACGAATCCGTTCGCAAAGTGCGCCGAAAAATTATTGCAAGCAAAACATAGACCTTATATAACTGTATATTATTGTATATAACACTGGTTAAAAAAGTCGGATCTTGAATTAATTAAAATTAAAGGTTATAATTTATCTTCTCATTTCTGTCGAACTCAATATGGCCACGGAGGTGTGTGCATTTTTGCAAGTGATTTCATTCGTTCTAAACTCGTTCATACTAATACTCTTCAAGTAGAAAAACTTTTTGAATATTGTGCTGTTGAAATTAATCTCTCAAATGTCGTCGTGTGCCTTATATGCGTTTATCGATCACCTGACCTGAATGTTATAACATATAACATATATATGTTCATCTCGCTGATGTACGAATTGATTCATAACCTTTTTGATAAATATTCCAAAATTATTGTTTGCGGCGATTTTAATATACACTTTGATAAGCAATCGAAACCATCCATTGAATTCAATTTGAATATGCAGTCTTTTGGTTTAACTCGTACTATTCATGAACCTACTCGTTTTTCTTGCATTGATAATTTCTTCACCAATTTAAAAGACTTTGATTTGCTTGTTATAAGTACCACTCTTTCAGACCATCGAGGCATAATATTAAATTTTTGTAATTTTTCAACTTCTAAACTACCTTTATCTTACACAAACGTTATTTTGATGAATCAAATAAATTGATTTTCAAATGTCTTCTGGAAAATGAATCATGAACCTTACTTAACAAGTCCAAAGACTCAAATACAATGTTCGACAACTTTATTTCTACATTTTTATTCAACTTCAATCAAGCTTTTCCTCTCATTAAGAAAACCGTTTGCCCAAAAAATAATATTTCAACTCCTTGGCTAACTAAAGGGTTGAGAATTTCACTTAAAAGATTAGCATTTCTTGAGAGATTATCGGTGCATAATGATAACATATGGCTTTTACAATTTATTTTTTGAAATAACAGGGCAACTTTAAATGATCTAATCAATTTAGCGAAGATCAAATTCAACGAGAACTTGATTTTTAATTCAGCAAATAAACAGAAAATAATTTGGTCCTTAATTAACTCGGAAATTAATACGAAAACTAAATCTTCACATATTGATTGTCTTACAATTAACGGCGACAAGATTATTGATAAGGTATTCATATCTAATAAATTTAATCACTTTTTTGTCACCGAAGCGTCTAAATTAACAACCGCAATTAACTCGATCACCATTAGTTCGACTAAATCTCCATCCGCGCGAAATAATTCTACATTCGTTCTTTATCCTGTAAATTTAAAGAACTAAAGCAAACCTTTCTATCGATAAAAGTTACTAATTCAGCGGGTCCGGATCAGATATTTAGTCTTATTCTTAAAGAATTCTATCCCTTTTTCATAGATAAATTTATGTTATGTTTAAAAAAATGCTTCGATGAAGGAATATTTCCATCCCACCTCAAGCATTCAAAAATTTTTCCTCTTTATAAGAAAAATAATAAAGACGATATCAATAATTACCGTCCCATTTCCCTTTTGAACTCTTTCGATAAAATAATTGAAAAAATCTTGCATACTAGATTACTACAATTTATAATGTAGTTCATAACATCATTGACTCCTTCGAAGAAGCCAGATATTGTACTGCGACATTTTGCGATCTGTCCAAAGCTTTTGATAGTATTTCTCATCTAAGACTTCTTGACAAATTAGAAAATTGTGGTATTCGCGGACGTCCGCTCAAACTATTTGAATCTTACCTGTCTAATCGAACTCAAAGCGTTTACTTAAATAATGATCACGAACAAATAATTTCGGATAAATTGACAAGTACATTGGGTGTGCCCCAAGGATCAATTTTAGGGCCTCTCTTATTTCTCATATATATTAATGATTTACCCCATTGTACAAATCTTTGTGATTTTATTCTTTTTGCGGATGATACCAGCGTTATCATCAAGGCCAAATCTCTTAATGAATTACAACATAAATTAAGCGTGGTTATGTCGGAAATAACAAAATGGTTTTGTGAAAATAATCTAGTCCTCAATAATGATAAAACCCAAAACATATCTTTTTGTACAAAAAATCGTTTATCCAATAATATTACTTCTTTAACCATCGAAACTTTTCAAATTATTTTCGATATTCAAATATTTTTTTTGGGAAACTGAAAATAAATTTTAAAAAATGCCCAAAAGCAATTGTCAACGCAAGCTTGAGCAGACAACACAAGAGGAAAGTATTTTGTATTATTCAAAATTCAAAACTGCCATTTTTTGCACATTTAACGAAACGGCTGGATCTGACTTTGTCAATAACTAATCACCACTTCTCGCCGTCATTACATATTTTCTGCACACTTTGCTCCATATCTCCGAAACGGCTGGACCTGTCTTTGCCAAAAACTAATCAACACATCAATAGGAATCGAATGTTTTTTGAACCATTTGAGTCTAAAAACGTGGACGAAAGATTGTATCCATACATACACGCGCACACAGCCACACACATACACACACATCCGTTTTTTCTGAGGTATGCAAAAATTTTTAGAAACCTTCAAAACGTGAAGAAATACAAAAAATTTCAATTTCGATTTTTGGACGATTACAATAACATTTCCTACGGGAAGTTAATAATGCATAATAAAATATTACTATAATTATATATTATTTAGCTCAATCGCTATATTTTCAACCGATTTAAATATAAACCACATAAAGTAATCTTCCTTTAAAATTTCTTTTTATTTCTATTCAATATTTCATTCTAACTTGTTACCGCAAAGTTTAGGAGGAATTTACAAAATTATTTTTACTAGATTCAAGACAGTGCATGACATTTATTACAGTTTACATAAGGATTACCATCAACTTGTTAAAGTCGACTATCTTCTTTTATCTATCAATCTATCTTCATGTTATCTTCATCAAAAATATTTCAGAGTCGAATAATTAACTTGTTATTATGGAATGATACTAACTCTTATTATAAAAATAAACATATAATAAACAAATCAGGTGCCTCAGTAATAACATCCATACACATTAATAAAAGATGAGTAAAAATGGCTATACATTATAAATCTTAACAAATGCATATTTAAAACTAGTATGACAAAATTATATCACAGTCATGAGAAATGTATCAATCTCAATGAAGACTATTTCTGAGAAATAGAGCCAAAAAATATATTTAAAAAATTATTTTCTTGGTCAAACTGAAACTTTTCAGTTTATACCGCACTCGTGAAGTTTTCAAAGTTTCGAAAAACGTTGCTACTGTTTTCAGTAGTTATCTCTCAGGTTTTATGAGATTTTAACTTTTAACGCTGGAATTAGATTAAAAAATACTTAGTCAAATGTATAATTTAACTAGTTGGTTTGGTATTTAGCCTTGAGGCAAGTTACATGAACTTCCCGATATGTGTAAATAATTGACTTAATCAAAAAAAAAAAAATGTGTAAATAATATATATATTATTTTAAAAATTCGTCAAACTTTACTAAAATTATTATCGTTTTTTTAAAGTAGGATTGATGAAGTATACTTCATCAATCCTACTTTAAAAAAACGATAATAATTTTAGTAAAGTTTGACGAATTTTTAAAATTAAACTACTTGTCGTAATGCCGTAATATTACAGTAAGTTCTATAAGACCATGATGTATATCGCCAAAAAAAGTTCCATGAAAATCGGCTTAAATATTTTTTTCAACAGTTCATTACAAGAAAATGGCTCGGTAGATTTTCACCTAAAATTAATCAGTACCATTCCCAACTAATATCTTTCGAACAGTTTTTGATTTTTTAAAATCGGTTAGGTAGTATGAGGTTAAATGTGGACGAAAGGTTTAACACTTTTTTTCAACAGTTAATTACAAGAAAACGGCTCGGTAGATTTTCACCTAAAATTAATCAGTACCATTCCCAACTAATATCTTTCGAACAGTTTTTGATTTTTTAAAATCGGTTCGGTAGGATGAGCTTAAATATGGACGAAAAGTTTAACACTTTTTTTCAAATTGCAAAGAAATGGCTTGGCAGATCGTCGCACAAAACTGACAAACGATAGTCCTCACCGAAATACATCAAATGGCTTTTAAATTTCTGAAATCGGTTCAGGCGCTTTTGAGAAAACGTCGATCAAAAGTCTAATTTTGACAAATGTCAAAAAAACTATACCAATTTTTGCAAACTTTGACGAATTTTTAAAGCTAAACGAGTTGTCGTAGGGCCGTAATAGTTTAGTATGAGCTAGAAAACTATGGTATCTACCGTCAAAAAAAAAAAATCATGAAAATCGTCGAATTTTTTTTTTTCAAACGTTACTACAAGAAAACGGCTTGGCCGATCTTCACCAAAAACTAATCACCACGATTCCCAACCAATATCTATCGAATGGTTTTTGAATTTTCAGAATCGATTCAGAATTGCGGGCTAAAACGTGGACGAAAAATTTTTCACTTTTCTGCAATTTACTAAGAAACGGCCCGGCCGATCGCCGCACAAAACTCAGAGACGATAGTCCTCATCGAGATACATCAAATGGCTTTTAAATTTTTGAAATCGGTCCAGCCATTTTGGAGAAAACGTCGATTTACGGCAAAAAATCTGTTCACACACACACACACACACACACACACACACACACACATACACACACACACATACTTTTTCCAAATTTGGTCTCATTCGATTCAGAATGGCTCGAAACGTCGAGAAAACATAAAATTAGCGAATCGGATTTTTTGATGAAAACATAAACTTCTCCTTCGGGAAGTTAAAAATGTAAACTATCATGTGTCTTATCTTTATAATATATATAACTATCTCAAAATAACAAACAATTTTGGCTATGAGTAAAATTAGCACTTCAATTTCTGGCTTCAACAATAACGAAGAAGAATTGTTTCAAACATTCCATATAATTAATTCTACATGTCAGCTTTTCCATACCGCATAAAAAATATAAGTAACTACCTGTTTGAAATTCTAATGAGAACGAGTTCTAAGAAAGAACAGTCAATCAGATTTCAACATGACGTATATTCTTGGCAAAAACTGAGATATTTGTTTTTAAATATTTGATTGAACACGTTAATTATTTTATTTAAAAAAATCTGTCTTCATCTTCAATGTAATATGAATATATATATATATATATATATATATATATATAGCTAATTCTAAAATTAAGATTAACAATATATAAGCAATTTTTACATATTGTTTGCATGATTTTGTGCTTTATAGTTTTTGATAAATTTCAAAGAAATGAAATAATTAGTCATGTGCTCAAGTTATGTAAATCTTTTATGTGATGTAAGAAAGATTATATGTATATAAAAATCAAGCAGTGTTTCAATGTATGTACAGTAAAACCTCATGAGCATAACTCAATATTGAAATCATAATAGTTGGGATTGAACTACAAAAATTGATGCATATCAGCATAACATCCTGTGTATGTTTGAAAAAAAATCAATTAATTATTTAATTTTAGTAAAAAATCAGAAAAAACGATGAATTATTTTTCAAGCACCTTAGAGCCCACAAATGCTCCTTTTATGTAACAAATACTACATTATAAACTTATCAGCAAATTCATTGAAGATAGTTTACTGAATTTATATAAGTGATAACTATTTTAATAAAAACAAAGTTGCAAAACACTTTATTTATATTTATAACTAATTATTTCATAGCTATAAAATATGTACAAATTAAATTAATATTTTTCAATGGTTTCAAAACAATCATACTTGAAATTTTTACAAAGAGTTGCTTATTCTTTGTTGTTACAAGAAAACAGCAAATAATGTATCCATTATATATGGATGGATATGAAACCACAATAAACATACCTAAAAAATCGAATTTTTCCTCTTTGACTTTTAAATATAATATAAATATTTCATCAAGATAAATTAGCCTTTAGTACAGAGTGAAGCACTGCACAATTCATTGCGATTCTAATTATCAATTCATTTCATTAGTTTATTGTGGCCCCATCGACTAAGTTTGTATAAAAATGCTTACATTGCCATAACAATAATAACTACTTCTATGTTACTTATGTTAAATATTGTTAATGTTTACTTTTTATATAGGCCACATAACTCTTAAATAAACAATATTGTGTCAAAACATTACTACAGGCATTTTAAAAATATAAAAAAAATAAAAGACCATAATCACAGATTAACTCCTTCTAATCGACACAATAATACTTAATTAAATTTCTTAATTTATCATCACATCAGATTTTCATCTGAGCTAAAATGACATTTAGCTGTCTCCTAAAATAATTATGAAAAGTGATACCCAATATCTTCAGTTGTAGTTTTAGTCATGTTTTTCTTAAATTTAGAAAATATATTAAAAACTATAATAATTTGGGTTTGACTTTATGAAAATATTACTTTTTATAACACTAGTTGCAACTAGTTGTTAAACCATTTCTATTAATAAAAAATGTAATAAAATTTGATTTTAATTGATGGCACACAAATATAACACATATTTACAATGTCAAAATTAATTAAAATTCAACTCAATGACAATATTGTTTTTGATTAATATTTCATATATGATAATTATTAATTGTTATAATTATTTATGGTAATTACTAAACTTTATAATATAGAATTATACATCGAGTAACTAGATTGTGAAGTACATGAAACAATAGATAATTAATTCTTAAATTATTTAAACAACTTGGTCATCTTCTAAATATATGGTACATTTTTATTTAAAAAAATATGTCAAATACATATACCAAGGATAATATTGGAGATATCTAAAATAAACTAAATCAAAATCTTTAAATTTTAAACAGCTATAGAATCAAAAATGAAAGAAATAATATACAAAATATTTATGTAGTAAAAAGTTATTTTTCAGAAAAGCAAGTCAAGTGGCAATTTTTTGCATTCATGAACAGAATTCGTCATATTGATATGTCACTTCTATTTTCTATTGTTTCTCTTCAAACATTGGCCATTTTTTTCTATAGAATATCAATCATCAAGTGATTTAAATTAGAATTTTCATGTAATAATAGCGTGAAAATGACAGCCTTATTATACGATAAATAATATTTACACGCATTGTTAAATCAATATTATGAAATAGCATGTATAATTAATACATGTGTAAAACCCTATCTGACTAAATAGCATTTTATCATTAAGTATTGAGTCTGTGTTTCTGATAACTATCACAATTCTCAAAACTTCAAATATAGTGTTTATATTAAATAACAACTGCATCCACAATTTTTGTATCCATAATAAGTTCGTCTGGCTTGCGATTTTTTTAACCCGCTTGACTAAACGGAGCACTTTTTGTGTTTTTTCAAATCTTTTGTCGTAGCACAATATTCTTTTTATCACTAAAACATATAAAAAAATGCTTTCTGGGTCTTTTATAAGATTTACACAAGACAATTTGTGATGAATCGCCAGTACTGGCTTCGATCCGATGTAAGACTTTGGTTAATCGCCTGGATGCTCTGGACAGCACCGGTTGACTTCAAACCATTGATCAATGCAACTGAAAATAATAAACTTTTATGAGCACATTTATATAAAAATTACAGTGTATTATTTGTTCATTTGAAGAATATTTACTAGGTTAGCAAAAAAAAAAATCCGGTTTTGTTGTTTGAGCACCAAAAATATCTGGTACTATTATTTTATCTTAGCCCTATTGCTACGAGAGTATTTTCTCCAGGAGCAACACTACTGTACGAACTAGTAAGCTATACAAGTATTTGTTACAAAAAATATTTTAATTCTATTCTAAATCACTACTAATAATGAATATATTTAAAATTGAAAACCACATTTCTGAGGAACTAAAAATGATAAGAACAGATTAGAGTTCTCAACAATTTAACGAAGAGTGATGAATATTAAAGACGCCTATAGACGACACATTGTATGTCGTCTATAGGCGACACTCGTACACACAGGTCGTCAAGCGGATGTCGCTATAGGCGACACAAATAGCGAAAGATTAAAAGTTTGCGTAAAAACGCAGAAAAATGCGTTACAGAAGAGGCACATGCCGTTCATTATTGATTCTAGAAACGAAATAACCTGGGCAGGGTACATTTGAATTTGACCAATTTGGTTAGATGAGCAAAAATAGTACTAAATACTAAGAATAACCCAACAACAGATACAAAATTAATGAAATAATATGCATTTGATTGATCGACTCCGCGTAGAATAACTAATTTATCGATTTTTTTGTTAAAAATTGCCATATGAAAGTTAAATTATTTTATGAATTTATTTCTAACGCTTTCTCTGACTGCAACCAATGTTTTTTATATGAAAACTAACATTTCATTCTCTCATTCACATTTGAAAACAATATTAAAAAAATATTTTTTTATAGATCAACATGTAAGAGAAAGTAATATAAGAATAAAAATTGAAAATCGTTACTAAATTATTTTTATTTATTGTTAGATCAAAATGCATACGTGTGAAATGAATAATTTAGCTCTGACGAAATTATGTACTAAAATCAGTTGAATAACCACATGTATGAAAATTACCATGAATGTATTTTAGTTATTTTGAAAAATCACATGTATGAAAATGAATGTAATTTAAATATTTTGCAGTAAATGCATTCAAATAAAATATACTATTTGTTTCAAATGTGCAACAAAAAAGTAATTAATAGAGTATTATAATAACACAAGTTAATCAAATTCTGTCTACCAAGTAAGAAAAATTGTTTTTTCTTCTGGTCGATATACAGAATTTGATTAATTTGTATTATAATATTGTATTAACAGTTTTTACTGACCCTTTGTGATAAATGCAAAGACAAGGAAGCCTTGCGATGATGTCACCTGGACTGAGATCTTCTAGGCAAATCACACATTCTCCCTTGGCGTCGTTTAGTATGTCCTCTAAAAATAATATATTTTTCATTTATATATAATAATAAAATACGCTCTCTTCTTCATAAAATAAATATTTGATATTGAATTCCATGCAACTGAACTGTGTTGTATAAAGATTTAAAATTGACTATTCTTAAACTATTCTTCAATTCAATTGCAAAATGCAGAAAATAATCTATTTAGAATTATTTTAGGGAATTTAAATAAAATATTTAAAACGATGTAGCCATTAGAGTATGTATTAATTGGACAGCATTTTAGTGGAATTTTGTGAAAAATCTATAATTATTAATTTACTGTTTACTAAAATAGTATCACGTACATATTACGTACAATTTAGCAAAGGCTTTTTCTTTTCAGATAATATTTCTATTTTTGAGGTATACTTCCAATTAATAAATTAAAATCTATTCGCCACATTTTCAGAATTGTGTTATCTAGAGCTAGAATAGTTTATAGTTTATATATAGAAATGCAATAAAGTAGTTATTTTACCGTTGTAAGAAAGCCTGGGTTTTGTAAGACACATCACAAGATGACATTCTATATCGTCTGGGAAAACAAACTTGCTGCATACTGGACATTTTATACCTGAAAAGAAATTAAAAACATTATAAACAACCGCAAGTAAAAATTAACAATTTATCATAAATAGAAATAAAATTAATTACTCATCCAAGAATTAAAAAAACAACCATCAGTTTAAGAAAAGGGCATCTAAAATTCTTAACCATTTGCTGATTTCAGTATGGATCCTATTCTTCTGAATATTTTTACTACCGGATTCATATGCATCAAGATTAAGAAAAACTGAACAATCTCTTCATTAAATGCTTTCATCAAATATTTCCTGATTTGATGTTGCACAGAAAAATGAAACGTATATAAGTGTATTAATTTTTTAATTATACAATCGACATATATTTATAGATAATCGGTATCAAAATTTAGATTGATCTAAAAGCAGGTTGTATTTAATAATTATACAATAATCAATTCACCTGGAATCTGGATCTTCAAATATTTTCTTTTGCCATTTTTCACGAAGTTACTTAGAGAAGATTCATTTCTATTATAACTATTTTTGACATAGTTTAATGATCCATGCAGAGCGTTTCATTTTCAGTAAATAATATTTAATTCTATTTTAATATCCCTGTCGTTTATGTATTAGAATTTCACCAAATGTATACTGATACAAATCAGAATGTAAACGAAAATCGTAAACACACAATAACCATAAAATCAAGTAACTACTAAATAATCCATTTATAGATTGGATATATATATATATATATATATATATATATATATATAAATGTTTCATTATTTGTAAATTCACAGTAATAAAGTGTTTATATTGAGAGTGATAAATAATCGCTGAATACACAATAAAAGACATATGGAAACATCATGACTCGGCAAGTCATTATCAGTTATATATTTATAACTTAAATCGATTTTAAGTTTAGTTTAAAAAAATAAATCAATACGAGTAGTTATAATAACTTGCCAGTAATACATGACATAAGATAAATATTATACATTTCGACATCTATAATAATCTTTTATAAAAGAAATATAAGCGTAAAAGCTCTCTAGAAGTGTATAAGTTTACAAAATGCAGAATATAGATTTTAAAAAGTGAGACACGTAAACTACATTATCTTCACAAACTCCCTAAAAAAATTGGGAAATCATATATGCTAAAGTGCAATACATGTTGAATTTTTCCTGGGGTCAAGGTAACACAGAAATGATATATTGCGTGACAATTCCGTAAACTGTTTGGATGTGAGGTAGGCTATGCGCACGGTAACATGAACCCTGGAAAAATGCACATAGAATATGTACTTATTGATTTTACAATATTTTCACACATTAAGTATTCGTAACGTTTTATTTTTAATTCATTGATATGCATCTGCAGTTTACCCTTTTTATTTTTATGCATTATCTGCCTGGCAACTTGATAAATAACTTAATAGTTCTGCAACTTCTTCATGACGTGGCTTTAGAGAAGAAAAACCAACCAGCTGACGATTGGCCTATTTCTCTTTGGTGAATTTATTATTAGAACATAATACTGATAACTTTATTGAATGCAGCAATGTCTGATAAAGGCTATTTTCACTTTGAAACATATTATTATCTAAGAATTTAGTGTAAACCTATCAAGCTTTACGCTTTGGGTATAGAACCTGAAACTTCTGATTGGAAGGCCTTAGCTCTAACTACTTACCGACGGGAAAACCCAGAATAGTGCGACAAGTGAAAAAGTCATGAACAACATAAAATTCTAACGAAACCGCAAATTTTATATGAAATTTCAAAACGTTTAGAAACTAACCGTGGTGACACTCTCGTTAGAGTCCAACGACTATTTTTTTTTTTGTAAAAAAGTAAAATATTATCCGATCGAACCAAAATAACTAGGAAATAAAAATATGGAGTTACATGTGACTAATTGAAACTCAGAACTATATTGAAATAGAACGAATCCTGTAAAATCCATTTTCTGATTTTTATCATGTATCATAATACATCGACATAGTATACCTTAATACGCGTTACTTAACCTACTTTTCCAACAATAAAAATAAGTGATATATGTATTCCTAAACGCTGAATCGATTGCAACAAAAGTAAAACCTCATATATAAAACATCTGAAGTCACGCAAACCGTGATGTAGTAAGTGACGTCAACATCAAGAACGTCATTATTACCGTTTGCGTCGAATTGCGTCATGAATAAAATGACTGCGTCAAAAACGTCATTACCAATCAATTTCTTCAATTGAAATGAATGATATGTATGATCTATGATTATATTTCAATTATAAATTGGAAATAGAGTGTGCAACAATGTGTCACTATCGAACTTTATCCCACAGGTGAGTAGAACTAAAAAACAACTGTTCTTGACAAAAGATAGTGGATTTGACTGCGTGCCAGGATGGTAAAGAATCAGAAACAATAAACCATATTTTTTGGGAACAAAGGCAAATACCATGCAAAACAACGGAGGAAAGGCAGAGAATTTGTAATAAAATGATACAACACATGCGTGTAACCATTGAATGATTCATATTAAATAATATAAACATGTAACAATAAAGTATCTTGTGAATATTCAAAAAAAAGTTCTTCACGTGTTCATTGATAATGTCAAAAGTCGATAAAGTTTAAATTATTATATATACAGTAACAAAATCATTTCTTCACGTCATATTATGTAGTAAACTAAACACCAACAATGCTGTCGCTGAGCGGCGGCATTTGATTTTAACTATTCGGTATTCGGCCGAATATTGAAAAAGGTGCTGAATATGCCGAATACCGAATAGTAACTGAATATTCGGTGCAAGCCTAATTTTTTATTGCTAATAATAATATTAATGTATGAATATTAATAATATATAAAACTATGCAACTATGCAGACAGACTAAAAGATTAAAAGATCCAAAGCCACATAAAACAAATAAAAAAAGATTTAGATCAAAGTAAAATAAAAACGACTTTCCATGCTAATGTACCTTCTATAATAAATTTTTATATGATAAATCAAATTTCGACCATCTTATATTCAAAATATTAGATTTACTTCTTTAAAGTAGAGGACATGTCATATGAAGCGCAACTAAAATTTAAAACGTACTTCTGAGCGATATCGAGATAAAAAATAAAGAAATATTATGAAGAAATTGAAGAAGGAAAAGATGAAAATAGCTGACTAAATACATGACTTATAATATAGAATATATAAAAATTGTTTCATAATCATAAAAATGTGAGATTAGTAATTATGTAGACAAATCACAAAGTATAAACAAATACTTCAAATTTAATTAATTAAATTCAATGAAAATCGCTTTTTCATTAAGCGCAAGTAGTTATATTTCGACTGCTTTTACTGTAGATTATCGGAACTTCACTCATTTAATAGGAAAATTTTAGGCATTATTATTATGAAATTATTGGATACATATTAAGACATAATTAGCAATATAATTAGACCAACAACTATGTTCAATTCCTATATGCAACTAACTAATGGAAATTTAACGACAAAATCTACTAAGCAAATTGTTTGTAGCGCGACCTATCAATTATTGTGGCACATCCACTTCAATCAATATTCCTGTGATGTGCACCTGTGTGTAGGAAATAATTATATAAATGTCATTGTAAAGGGCATGTAAAATAATTTATTTTTTTCCATTATGACAAGTAACTAAAACTTGGTCGAACATTTTTAACACTACGTTACCAAAGAATTGTATTTTGACTTTTTTTTTTTTGTGGCGAGCATAGCTCTTTGGTAGCGTGTTCGATTCACACGACAGGGGTCTTCGGATCAAATCCTGTCAATGACATAGAATTTATGAAAAAATAATATGTGTAGTTAATTTGAAATCAATAGAGGAATATTGGAACTTGAAAAAAGAATGAAGAAAAGAATGAAGAAAAGAATGGTATGAAGCTGAATTAGAAATTTGAAAAAGAACAAGAATTGAAGAAAATAAGAAGAAGAAGAAAAATTAAGAAGAATATAGAATAGGATACATAAAATAGATTGAAAATAATATAAAAATTAGAATTGTAACTAAAAAAAAAATGTTGTAGGTGGCTAAATGCTCAGAGTAAGCGAGGCCAAATAAAAAATTAAAAAAAAAAAAAATATTTTTAATTTCAGTAAGAACGAATTGCGTATACAATGGGAAAAATTTGTCACTTTGTACTTGCATTTATTAAAAATAGTATTTTATTCATCACTACGTTTATTTTGACAAATTATGAATTGTAGATATTAAAATAACTTATTTATATTGTGGGACTTGTTACTTTTAAGAAAATATTTAATTTTACTTAATAAAATTGAAGAAAAATGATAATAGTATCTATTACATTGTATATATAGTGAATAGAGAAATTCAATACAAACTTTAGAATTAGAGTGGTTAATATTGATAGAATATATAATAAAAAGCTAGTTCTACAAAATTTATTTTTCCAAAATGATTAAACGTTTTACATTTGGTTACTATGAATGCCTCGATTCATAAAAAGCAAAGCAAACAAAATTCAAATTCAATAACCAAAATTTTTCTTAAGGATCTAATATAACAGAGCTACCAGACTTCAGATGTGTTCATACCAAAAAAAAAACTATTATAATATTACCAAAAGCAAGCCGTTTTGTAAAAAATTTGCAGAATACGACATTGCCACAAAACATAAAATTAATTATGTAAGAAGTGTCAAAAATAAGTTTGCAGAAATATAACAAATGTTTACTCGCATAAATTAGTTCTACTTGCTATTTTAGTAAAGAAAATAATATTTTGAATAGAGATCATAACGAATAAGCCTTTCATAGTTATTAAAATCAGTAAATTTATCATAAATTATGCTTTACACTATCGGTTTTTAACTAATTTTCAATTCAAGTTATACATTTAATCAATACTACCATAAATTAATTTAAATATAAATGGGGAAAAATTATGTGAACTGTTAATGTAAATAATTACAAATAACTTTTATTGCATAAGCTCAAAAAAACTTTATATGCCATTTATATTTTTT